GCCAGGAGAGCCTTTGCACAGTTAAAGCTTGTGTTCCAGCTGCGACCATATCACGAGAAGCCTGACTTGGCCGCAGTAGTCCTTGCCTTGGTTACATCCAGATTGGATTGTTGCAATGCACTCTACGCGGGGCTATCTTTGAAGACGGCCCGAAAACTGCAATTGCTCCAAAGGTTGGCAGCCAGGTTTCTAACTGGAGCTCATTATGGGAGCGGCAACGCTCCTATTAAAGCAGCTCCAGTGGCTGCTGATAAGTTTCCTGTCCTAATTCAAGGTGCAGGTTATGATCTACAAAGCCCTAAACAGTTTGGGCCCTGCCTATCTTCGTGATAACATCTTCCTCTATGAACTGGCATGAGCTCCAAGATCTGCCGGGAAGACCCTACTCTCACTTCCACCACCATTACAGGCACAACTAGTGGGGACGAGGGAGAGGGCCTTCTCGGAGGTGGGCACCTGACTTTGGAACACTCTCGTCGGGGAGATTAGGTAAACCCCCATAGTGTCCACCTTTCACAGGGATTTGAAAACTTGGATGTTCTAATAAGCATGTAAGAATGACTAGTCCTTATTTATAAATGCCCATTCCCTAGGTTGCCAGATAGCACTGTATTTTGCACTTCATCTACTTCCCCTACCCTATAGTACGCTGTTTGCACTATCCCTTGCCCAACCCTTGTTAACTTGGAAATGCCCATTTTAGTATTCCTGGTCACTGTCTGATGGAGCTCCATTGCAATTAGTTTTATACTGTTATGGTTTAGTTCTTTTAGTCTGATATGTTGAATTTTGTGATGCTTTTATTTTAATGTGTTTTGTTTTATGGATTGTTTTTGCTTGTATATTTTGTGCACATTCTGACCCATATGTAAGCCATCCCGAGTCCCTTTGGGGAGATGGTGGTGGGGTAAAAGAATGAACTTATTATTATTATTATTATTATTATTATTGTTGTTGTTGTTGTTGTTGTTGTTGTTGTTGTTATTATTTCAAGTTAAACAGAACATATATATTAATATAAATAAAGCATGCTTTATATTTTTCAAGGTATATAGAACAATAGTACAAATATAGCTTCTGGCTGTTATTCAAGTGCTTCCAAACTTTTTAGTTCAGTGGGCAGTTTGAAATGTTGAGTGTGTATTGTCATGTTATTACAAGATGACTCTATAGAAAGAGGCTTGCTCATTCCCATCATGGTTCACACAGCAGGTGTTGTCAGGCTCAAAATAGCCTCATTTGGACCTCAACTGTCCTAGGGAGCTGCTAAGTGATATTAAGGAGCATTTGAAGCCTAATATTAGGTTTTCTAGTGAGATATGTTGTAAGGATGCACCCTTCTTAATGTTTTGTAGGGATGTAATGCAGTCCCTGAGCTTCCCAATTGTCTAGCTGTTCTAAGGTGACCTGACACTTAACAGTGATGGTTGAAACCCTATTCCTGTACTTCATGTAAAAAACTCTCTCAGAATTAGTTTTGCAGAAGAAAAAAGACCACACAACAGTATATTCTTTTCCAACATAATGCCCATATTTAATCTTTTAAAACATGTAAAACAAGAGGTAAAAAAAGTCTTTTAGTTTCATACAGTACATTTTTGTAATCTCTCAACAACATCCCCATCCACGGTATTCAAAAGTCTGGTATGAAGTATTTGTCAGTATCTTTACCAGGGATATAACCAGCAACACAGTAAAGCATAGCTCATGATAAATGGCTTCTCGAGATATAAATCACTGTAAATTCTGGAAGTTGGGGCCACAGAAAAATATCTCCTTCCAATGCTGCCCAGTAGCATGGAAAGCCTGGGAGTAGCTCATGCTTCATTTCTTCTCTACATAAAGTTTCTCCAGTTTTCTAAAAGTTAATCCTAACATAAGAAAGAGCCTCTGTGGCTCTTTCCAGTACCCTGTTACTGCCACAGCTCCTCTAATGCTGCCAACGTAATGACAGTGTTGGGCGTTCAGCATTTATACAGAGGTGATATTCTTTAAATAAGTTGAACTTGGATTTAGAATTTGTTAAAATTCAAAAATGGAAAGTTTCTGCAACATGCAGGAACATGTTATTTAATATGAAATTGATTGAATATCACATAATGTAATTCTATCTGCATATATATGGAACTATTGCTTTTTAAAAATAAGCAATACTTTACGCAGTACTGGTTATATTTCTCTACTGGCTTACTAATAAATGTTAAGACATCATATATTTAGGATAGAGACTTCTATAAGCCTAGAATCAAAACTAAATTTCTTTTTTGTATTTTTTAAGTAGAATCAAAATTTAACCTAGTTTTTTGTAATAAAAATATTGTTTCTCAGTTATTCCGTATTCTACCAAGTGAACATTGTTTGAAAGCAAAAATTCACTACCAAGTTAATCTAAATGGAAATGGTAGTGATATATATTAGTCACGGTTTTATTTGCAGAGAACACATGCAGTTTCTCGTTGACTGCTGAATGTTGACATAGAACCTTTTAAAAGCAATGCATACAAAATATTTATTTATTTCTGCTCTAATAGGAACTAAATCTACCTTCTTTATTTACCCTATATACTCATGTATCAGCCTAGAAATTTTAGTCCAAAAAGTAACCCAAAAGATGGGTCAGTGTCAGTACTTACTTTAATTTTTATCAAAAAAGAAACCACCCCCTTCTCTGAGTAGAGTGATGAAAAAGCTTAGTCAGTCACAAGAGGACTGGGAAAAAAAAATTCCCCTCCACTCATTCTGCTATGGCACCACTCTTGGCTTTTTTGAATGCCTAGGTGGGAAAATGGTGATGGTGGCCGGGTGCATGGTGGGGGGGGGGGCTCCCAGGTCAGCACTGGTGTTTTCCCCTCTCCAGAGATGACCCTCTAATTATCCACAGGCCATATCAAAATCTTTGGCCCCAAACCGGCCCTCTACTTATACATGAGCATATACTACAAAAAGGGGAGATGTTTCTATGAGTAGTCTAGTGGAATACCAGGCTTAAGCCAACATCTGTCAAACTCATGACACTTTAGTTATTCACATAAACTTAATCAAAGTGTAGGAAATTCAAGATTGTATCTTTAGCAAGGGATAAAAAGAAGCAACAATCACATAAAATGCCAAGAGTGTAAGCAAAATGTTCATTTTTTTGTTTTAGTTGAAGGAAAGTTTGGAGGGCTGCACTTGGATAGCCATAATTGAATCATAGCAATCAATATAGTCATGATGAACATAAATCCTCTTGATTTCAGTTGGTCCACCCAAATATAACTTCGTCTGAATCCATCCCTGAGCATTTCTCAGTTTCATACTATGAAACATCATGGCTATAATATAATATTCTGGCACACGAAGTGCCACTGTGCATATATTCCCAATTCTGGGAATTATATTAATTTGGAAGGGGGGGGGCGGTTATAGTGGCATAAAATATAGACACATGGGCTTAATAACTATCTACCAGACCATGGTTGTGTGTCACAAAATAAACCGAATAATGATTTGCCACTCTAACAATATTCATGGGAATCCCCCACCTCCTGGCTCTAAATAAATATTATTAAGAGGCATGAACTGCATCTCACAGTTTTGTTTCTCAGTTTTGTGCAGAATTAAAATAGCATATAGGTGTAGTGTGAATTATATGATTCATTAAACACACACGAATATGCAACAAAGATATTGATAGTCTCTTTGACATTTTTCAAGAGAACTGCACTTATTCTTTCAAGTGTCCAGCAGCATTTAAGTGCTTATTAGCACAGAACAATCTTGATTTTTTTTAAAAAAAATCATTCTAGTATAGTTTCTGTCTTTCATTTAAATGTTTGATTTGACAGGCTTCCCATTTAACTTCTGATATTCTAGTAGTTCATAATCTAACAAAATCAGCATATCACCTTCAACCTAGAATTCTCTGAGCAATCTGAACTCTCAAGACATTTTATTTCAAATAGTACACTACCAATCATTAGATTTGGTTAACTTTCCCACAGTTGAAAATACTGTGAAGAAGTTACAGCACATCGGGTTGTTGTGTGTTTTCTGGGCTGTATGGCCATGTTCCAGAAGCATTATCTCCTGACGTTTCGCCTGCATCTATGACAGGCATCTCAGAGGTTGTGAGGTCAGTTGGAAACCAGGAAAATTTAGTTTATATATCTGTGAAATTATATCCAGGTTGGGAGAAAGAACTCTTGTCTGTTTGAGATAGGTGTGAATTCCAAACAATAAACAATAAGGCTGAGCTAATCACCTTACAACAAATGATTCCTCCGGTCAGTAAGAAGCCAGACCTTGAAAACTGCTAGGCCACTAAATGCTACTCAAAGTGGCCAATTGCTACATTCACACCTGCCTCAAACAAGCAAGAGTTCTTTCTCCCACCTTGGACATTCCACAGATATATAAACCCCATTTTCCTAGGTTCCAACAGACCTCACAACCTCGGAGGATGCCTGCCATAGATGTAGGTGAAATGTCAGGAGAGAATGCTTCTGGAACATGGCCACACAGTCTGGAAAACACAAAACAAACCCAGTGATTCTGGCCATGAAAGCCTTCAACAATACATTATAGTACATCATTCATTTAGAACTATTTATATACATTCACACAACTATGTACATACACAAAGTATTTTATAGAACTGTAATGCATCCAATATCTCTGCTTTAAAAAAATCTCTGTGTGCTTCACTTAAGATAAGCAAACTGTTACACATCAAGACATCTAATGAAGTTTTAGAGATTCCTATCCAACTGAGATTTGATGTTCAAAAGGGGGGCCATATTAAATCTCTCTCTATAAGTCACTGAAGCGTCATTATCCTGACATTCTGTTTTCTACATATGGGTGTGTGCATTTTTTATTTTATAGCTGAAAAACTTTGTTATTTTTGTTGTAGGGGCACATATTGTAACAGTCAATATCCATATGACTATAGAGATATCTTCAGCTTTAGTGCAAATGGGGTTGCTTAGGATAGTCATGAATGATTAAAAAACATTGCATGTTAACAAAACATCTACCCATGAAACTGTCAGCAAGTTCCCCTCCTCCACAAGACTTACATACAGACATAAATAAACATTTGAGCACAAAACACACACACACAGTTTATTGAAAGTCCATTCTATAAATAAGAGGTAAAAACCTACGGGTGAACTTTAAAGGCTAGGAGTTCCTCAGAATGCATGTTATTCAAGGAACGCAAGTCAGGCAGTTTTAAAAGCAACTTTGTAAATGTAGAGGCTTCGTTTGGATGATTTTTTGTGATTAAGGTCCTGAGTGCACGGATAAGCGTCTCCTGCAGCGCCTCCACGGAGTTGACATTTTCAATTCCTGATCGTTCTAGACAAAAGGAGTGGAAGTAAGACTGTTATTTTGTTTGCATCTTAATACTTCAATGATCAAAAACATGGTTGTTCATCAATTTAAGGCAGCTGGGAGCCGAAACAGGAAACATGGCAAAAGAAAAAGAATATGAGGCATATTCTAGTTATTACATGCATATGTTCTCAGTGAAGCATTGTTTAGCAAAACACTCTGGGATCCTAATGTAAGATAAATAATAATCCTGGATAAGCAAAATTACAATTTTCACTGGTGAAGGAAACATTTGAACTGTGATCCAATGTTCTGGTGGTGGCGTCCCCATTTTTCTCTGTCAACAAGAATATATATATATACAGATTGTTTTTTGTAGGCAGCCAGATAAAAATCAGAAATATGTTTTTCTTTGGTATATTGTAAATTATTTAGGAATCCAGCAGTCCTGTGCCTTTCTGACAGGAGAAATTTTGTGGTATACAAACAGGAAAAGGAACTATCTGTTCAAAGTATATGGTGCAATTTTAGAAGCTGGCACACAGACTAGTACTACATTATGGAAACAGTTAAGGACAACCTCGAGATTAATGCAAGGTCTAAATTTTTTATGTTGTGTCTGTGATTGTTGTTTTATACTTTTAATGGTTTTAATCTATTGTCATATGTAGTTGATTTCATATCTGATGTTTTTATACATGTGAGGCATTGAATTTTGCAATTGATTATGTTGTGAACTGTTTTGAGTCCCCCCAGGGCTGAGAAAAATGGTATATAAATGCAATCAAATAAATAAATAAATAAATAAATAAATAAATATATTAACTAAAGCAAATGATTTATTTATTTATTTATTATGATTATAATGATTAGAAGTCATGCTGTTTGACATATAAGAGGCCTCTCTCTCTTGCTCTCTCTCTCTTGCTTTCTCTCTCTCTATATATATAGCACCAAATATGTATGAGAACATGAACAACATATAATGTTTTAAAGTAAATGCTCACTGGACCTATTTATATGTCATATACTCCTGTTGCACAAATCTCAATGCAGATGACTGTAGAAATAATTAGATATAAAATTAAATATGAAATGGAAATCTCAGTGTATACGCTTAATATCAATTCGCACACAAATTCGTGGCAAAAATCAATTTATGCATTTTATGTTCCCTTAAACTAACAACTCACAAAGATTATAGAACAAGCATTTACAAACTTTGGCCCTCCAGGTGTTTTGGACTTCAACTCCCACAATTCCTAACAGCCTACAGGCTGTTAGGAATTGTGGGAGTTGAAGTCCAAAACACCTGGAGGCCAAAAGTTTGCCCATACCTGTTACAGAACCTTTTTAAAAAGATGACAACCCTAATGCTGTTTCCTAATGTCATCTGAGCTCCAACATTTTGTAAGCATTGCTGGAAAAGATATTCAAAAATCAACATGCAGAAGTATTACACAGAATGAAGGATATCAAGTCAAAATGTAGTATTGAGTTAGTGTGATGTAGCTTTTTGAGCACTGAAATATGACTCTGGAGACCAGGTTCTGAATCTCCATTCAGCCATCAAAGATCCACTCAAATCAGACCACATACATTCCCCTGAATAAAAATCTTGCCAAGCCAAGAAAATCCTTCGATAGGATCACCTTAGAGTTGTCATAACTTGGAAATGACACGAGGGCACACAACAACAGGTAAAATATAATGTTATTTGCCAAAGGTTATGAAGAAGCTTCTTTCCTAACCCCATTAGTCAGATTTCATGTATTGTTGTAAATAAGAGAAAGGGCAGAATTTAATGTGGCTATTTCCTTTGGGGAGTCAATGGGATTTTGCTTTTTGGTATAGGCATAACTTTTATTTCTTACCGGCAGACACAAGGACCACTGCTGTAAACAAGCTCATTTCTTCATCACTAAGATTCAGGGCATTTAGCTTCTCACTAAACTCAAACATGGAGTTGAGCAGATCACCAGCCCCCATTGAACGCAGATCATCCAAACTGTATTTCTTTCCGCTAAGAAAGGTGATAGTACGATCCTTTGCATCAAATAAAGATGCAAACCTTACCATTAAAACCTGGTCAAAAGAAAAGAACAAATGTATTAATAATAGTAATATTATTTATTGATTTATTTCATTTCTACCCCGACTTTCTTGACCTGGGAGGGGACATAAACCGGATTACAAATCAGGCAAAAATTAAGTGCCGCATAGGTAAACAATAAAACACATCTCATAAAAATATAAACAATCTAAGCATATGAGCAATTAAAACACATAACAATGTATCAAACAAATTAAAACAACAAATAAAATGCTGAGTCATGATCTCATGTTGAAATCATTTTCTAAAATCCATAGTCCATTATTAAAAATTATACCACAGATTAGAAGATAATTGATTACTATAAGGATTTTCAGGATAGTCTGTAAACATCTATTACTTTTTTTGGGGCGGGGGGATAGTAGTTCGGATAAGGCAAAGTTTTAGAATGTGATTTGTTGCAGTTCCATACAGCATAAAAAGAAATCGCTCATAAATAACATTAGTGAAAAATGAAATGTTGTTTCAGATCTAATGTAGACTATAGACCATAGAGGATTCGGCAGATCTGTTGCAGAGCATGGAGTGGTCTAAATGCACCAAGGAGATTTGTAAGCAATGTAATTCAAAAGCACTTGCCAGCCCTTCCCAATGGAAAGGCTGTGCGAAATGAGAAAATGTTGGACTGGGGTGGTTTTAGGAAGGGGCATGTATCTAACAGCATGTGTTCTTCTCCCAACCCTTTCCCAAGAAAAGGACTGGTGGGAAAATGGGTTTGACCAGTGAAGGGGGTTGGCAATTATTGCTTTCGATTACGGCAGGAACGCCAGCCAAAAAGTGTAAACCTCTCCTTTAACTTCAGTACCACCACTCTGTATAACAATGAAGGTGAGAACCCAAGCAACAAAAACCAAAACGTTTGCAATACTTTCTACACAAGCAGTATGCAATGGCTGAAATCACCAATATGGTTCAGTTTATTCTATCAGTTGGAAATAACACAGGCATTAGAGAGGAGAAAACTGCCTTAGCAACATAAGTAAATATAGTCTAGCATCCTGTTAGATTTGCTTACATATAGAGCATTCTGTGTCAAACATATGCCATGTATACAAGATATTCACCTCAAAGGTTCCAGCCTTTAGAAGATTTACTTGGTCATGCTGGGAAAGGTTTCGGAAGCCTGGAACACGCTTGGCAAACTCCACCACTTCTTTCACTGCAGGTGTAAAGCTCATAGAAAACTCCTCCCAAACTTCATGACCAGATTTAGTTGGATCCACAAAAGGAGTCTTGTTCATCGGACAAACCTAAATAATTTAAATATATATAATCTTTAACATTGATTTCAAAGAAATGGGCCAAATTATCAGTTTCCAAATCCTCATGCAGACAATTGGTCTAGTATTTTAAAATATAGTCTCCAAGTAAACGTACCTGGAGACTATACTTCAAAATACTAGACTCTAATTAAAATTAAGTAGACTTCCTTGTTGAGAGTATAATTTTAAAAACCATCTTATGAACCAAAGCTAAGAATTCTCAATTCCTTAAAGTTGTTATACGAACAACTTATAACTTCATACTCCTTTACGTATTGGTATTGTGAGTGTGTGTGTATGTGTACACACACACACACACACACACACACACACAATTTGAAAATAGTATCGTGGACCTGACTACCATGTTTAAGGGCTCTAATTTCCTTAGCAGTTCACACTGCATTAGATACCAACAAATTCCTATTAGCTACCTGACAAAATTTCGTGGAGAAAGTGGAGAAGGGACTTGTAGCACCCCAAGTCAGCTTCACACATGATGACTTTGTTAACTGTGGTCATCTTCCAAGCAGAAGACACAGGTGCAGAGAACCATGATCACTTCTGAAGGCTGTACAAGCAGTAACTTAGTTCTGAAATGATGTCTTCACTGCAGCACAATACAGTACAAATCTGAAGCAACCCCATATACACTTCTCAGGGCAGGTTGTTCCAGTTGAACTAGGGTTAAGAAAATATAAAGCAGACCAACATCTGCAAGACCTTATGTTCCCCATCACTATATTAAATTATAATTCAGAATTATGAGAATGATTTTATGCCAGTCTTTGGACTGTGTATTCACTCTTCTTTCAGCATAGTCAGAGTTTGGAAGTTTTTGCTTATATTTTGTATTAACAGTAGGCTGTCATGGCTTCAAAACCAGGATGTGCTTCGCCTTATAAATAGTAAATTGAAATAAACAGTCTTGAAACCATGGTTTATCAAGCTGCATTGTTTCAATCAACCACTGACAGCTCAGATGACAACTAAAGTGATACATCTAAAGCAGACGCTTTCAATTACCTCCTTGGGGTTTCATTGCTGGGGCAGAGTTGTTTAAGCCCACTAGCTATGGTTTAGTATTATATATGAATGTGACCATTATCCAGTTTAAGAATAATTATGGCATGAGACTGCATGGACATCTAATAAACTGATTACTAGATATTTTGATGAGGGCTGTTCTTCAGTTATATATTTTTAATAATGCAAAGTCCTAGACATATTTTTATTTAACACATAACACCACTTGCTTCTCTAGAAACTGTGGCCTAGTCTTACACCTCTGCAAATTGCTTCCTTTTCAATGCTGATTCACTTCTCAGTAAGCAAACCTCTCACACTGCAAAACACTCCCTTTCTCCATATTCATTTTATGCTATTATTATTATTTCATTTAATCAATACAATGACCCTAAGGAGAAAAGATTTCTGGCTGAGGTCACTGTCTTGAATCTATCCTTTAGAAAACTTTGCTAGCTACATGCAACAGAAAGTAACAATCACGGTACCAGATGCATCCTGCCTCCAGTGTTGTAAGAGTAGGCATTCATAGATTCATTTGGAGGAAAGCCGTTTTCAGGCATCCTGTTGCAACCTTTCAGGGGAAAGCCATGAGTGAAGTTCATAGAACTGCTGCTTGTGAAGCAAAGGTTACGCATGTTAGGATAATGCATATTGTTTCGCGCTTTGTATTGTCCATTGAAATGTTTCTCACTCCCACCATAATTGGTGCTGCTTATGTCACCATGATCAGGCTCACCACTAGAATTATATTGCTCTGTGTACTTGAGGATCCGCTCCCCGTTCTGGGACTGCACAACACTGGGAGGGTTTTCTGATTGTTCCTGGTTGTACATAAAGGTATCTTTATGGGCTCTGGTCACCATACCAATCACTTCTTCCTTCGCAATGTCAGAGGGGGGAGCAGAAAGAGGTGGAAGAAGGAGAGGAGGAGGAGGAGAAGTGCGGTTGGTAGTTTCCTCTTCTTGTTGCATTTTGGAGTTCAACTCTTCCTGAGGCAACAGTATCACTGGTTCTTCACTATCTTTTAATGTTTCGTTAGGCAAGTGATCACTGAATTGAGTATTCATCATGGTTTTCATGGCACTTTGCATTTCTATTAGCATCCTCTGTTTCTCACGTTTAGGAATCCGGCCAAATCGAACAGCTATCAAGAAGAAGAAGAAGAAAAAGAAGCTTTAAGGTAAAGGTGAAGATTTCCCCTTGACATTAAGTCTAGTTGTGTCCAACTCTGGGGGGTGATGTTCATATCCATTTCCAAGTTGAAGAGCCGGCATTATCCATAGATGCCTCCAAGGCCATGTAGCTGGCATAACTGCATGGAGCACTGTTACCTTCCCGCCAGAGTGTTACCTATTGATCTACTCACATTTAATGCTAGGTTGGCAGAAGCTGGGGCTAACAGCAGGAGCTCACTCCACTCCCCGGATTTGAACCACCAACCTTTTGGTCAGCAAGTTCAACAGCTCAGTGGTTTAACCCACTGTGCCACTGGGGGCTTTAGCTACAGATGACTGTTATTGCAAGTTCAAGAGGAAATGCCATAACAATTAAATAATTTTCTTACTTCCTCCCACAAACCAGGTAAATCAAGGGAAGTGTTTTGGATAACAGGTTTGTAAATAAAGACTGAAAGATTATGAAGATTATGTTTGTATTAGTGCAACATGGCACATAAAAGAATGCTGAAAGAAAAATGATTACTATCACATCTCATCAGTTCATGAAGCAAGATTTAAAGTTGTTTTAAAATCATCGTCTTGTTCACAACTCTATACTAGCATTTACAAGGACTTCCTTTTGAATGAGGTGTAAAAAGCACCAAAATCAGCTTTTAGTAGGTCACAGCTCAATACAGAAACATACCATCTCTTGACATCCCAACTGACAAACATTTTTTGAATCGGCACTGCTGACACCTGTTTCTGTTCATTCTCATTATGGAGCAGTTGTTATTCTTCAGGCACTTCTTGTATTGGATATTTTGCTGAATGCTTCTTCTAAAAAAACCCTGATAAGAATAAGCAAATGTGTTTCAGTACTTTTCTTCTATTTTTTGTAGGCACTTCACATGTACATTCCATTAACAAAAACTTGCATTTCAATATCGCAACTCTTCACTTATTTAAAATATATTAATTCTGCTTTTATTCCAGTTGCTAAAAGCAACATATATGACTTTTCCTTCTCATTCACTTTATTATCATTAAATACAAAAACAAAGGAATGTGAAGTAGTTAAGCTAACAAATGTGCGTGAATGGCCCAATATTATTCAGTCAGTGAATGGCCTCAATGGGGGTTTGAATGTGGATCTGATATCCCAATTCACTACTGATCTATAGATCACACTAGACAGTTGGACTGAAACTTGGGAGATCCCATTTCAGGCACATGCTGAGCTATGAAACCAAGTGGGTGATCTTGGGCAAGCTACATTCTCTCCCTCACTGGGTTGTTGGGAAAATACAATGGGAAGAAGAGTTGTGTGCACCATTCCTCAATGCAAGAAACATAAGGTATAAATATGCATAGAAAATACATTTGGGGTTGATCAAAGTGAGAGGAGTATTGCTACTAAAATTGCACTTTGATCCAGATAGTCAAAGACATCTGAAAATATTCAGCCCCAAACCTTATTCAACTACCCAAGAGGTGAATATCCAGAATAATGAGATTCACTTTGGAAAGCTGGTGCAGGCTGAATTTCTAATATACCATGGTATGTGCAAATACTAGATAAGACTTGAAAATAATTGACTACGTGTTATTTTCCTGATCACATTTCCCAAACGCTGGCCATTTAGAGGAGGGGAGTACAGGAAACAAATTATGGAAACTATACTTTTCATCTCTACATGAATGACTTTACATCTTCAAAATTGTACTTGGCAATTGGTCCATGGAGACATGTCTATATTTATAATAATTATATATAACATGATTAATTATTCTATAATAATGTAGATAATATCATAATTTAAATAGTATATATTTTACCTTGCAGCCTTCACAGGCATGGACGCCATAGTGGAATCCTGAAGCAACATCTCCACAGACTTTACACAGTAGCACCATGCCATTAAATTCTACAAATATAAACAGTAGCATGAAAACACACACACATATCTGATTTACATTATATAAACAGTAGCATGAAAACACACACATATATCTGATTAAAAAATGAAAGGTACCATGAATGAGACTAATTCTAGACAAAAAGACAAAAAATAAAATTCAGAATGCCCCTCGCCAAGTAGCTGTCACTTCTTTTGGTTTTCATTCATTCAAACAAATACAAAAATATGAATTTATATATAGACTTCAGCAGTTGGTTTAAACTGGCATGATTTTAAGTAAGATGATACCTTGTTACCTAGATTTCACCTCCCAACCAGTTGCCCTCCAGGTATGTAGGACTACAACTTCCATCATTTGTAACCAGCACTGCTATGCCAGTTTTGGGGTGATGACATTTGTCAAATACACTGGAAGTGTGACTAGTTGAGGAAGTTTGATGATATGTTGCCCTCCTTTGTGGCAGCAACAGCCAAGATACTTGGGGCCCATTGTCCACGGTCTGTTCCAAAAAATTTCACTTCATATTTTGTTGACTCAGACTTACAGAAACAAATCCAAATGAAATCACTAGGCCCACTTTGAATGAACTGAACTTTCATAAATGCTGCCTTACCAATAGATTGCCTGTAGTTAGAACTAACACTCAACTGAGGCCATTGTTAGTCATCAACACGACTTACTGGAGAAGATAAAATTGCTTGGATCAACTCAATAGAAGAGACATCTGTTCTGTGTCACAAATCATTACAACAATATTAGCACTGTGGTGACATTATGGTTAGCCCTCTGGATCCATGACATATGAATCCCTGATATCCAGCAACTGAGGATCCCCATGGACCATATTAGTAAATGTTGGCAATATAAACGTGAACACACTGAAGTGTAGCCACCATCTAATAATATGGGGCGTGATCATATTTTTTCATATCCGCAGCAGGTCTCAGAACTGAAACAGACACACACTGGATACAGTGGGATTACTGTATGTTGTAATGCCTGCATTAACCATGGTGGGAGTGATGAAACCATGCAGACACTGTTTGTCAACATCTCCCAGTAGTTATAAACTGCACAGGCAATGGTTCAGGATGCTGGAAGCAGCAGTCTAACAAAACCTGGAGGGCTATATGATTCCATCCCCTGCAGTACACACACTAGTGCAAATATATAGGACTCAACTCTTGATAGATGATTTATTGTATTGTTTATATGATGCTTTTAACTTAGTCGGTCTGAGGTTATTTGAAAATTATATTCTTTGGCAATATTTTACTATCCAGTGCACCCACATATACATTACCAAAAGCCTTTTAGAAACTCGGTGAAAATTATATTTGGTGTTGCTATTGTAACTTATTGGAAAATTTTACCCATAAGTCATGTTGAAAGGACAAATATAGTAAAAAATTAAATATTAAAGAACCAATAGTTAGAAAGATTATCTGTATAATAAACGGAAATAAAAACAATAATTTCCAGTATCTTGTGTTTAACTTGCTGGTCCCTGGAAAAAAAGATGTAATTTAGAAAGATTGCTAATAAGCTACTAAATTATCATTGAAATAAATTGAAAAGAACAGATATGGGTTGTTAGATGCAGTAGGTAAGACAGGAACTATTTACTAACAAGCATTAAAATATTCATGCTTACATTTTATGCTTCTCATGTTCTATTACTTCTGACACCAGTGTAACAAATATATTTTAAATTATAAATCAGAACTACAGAGCAAAGATATTAATGTCCTGTCTCAAGGTCACTGTTACTTTAATCTAATATTATGAGCATGTTAGTATTTATGTAATGCAAAGCTGCAGGCAATTGCTGAATGGGAGAGCACATGGACCGCATGCATGAGATGGTCTTGGATCTCATCCATGGTTTCGCTATGATAAAGTACCAGGTGATGGAGAACCCTCCTTGGTGCTGTTTCCAACAAGATTACACAGTAATGAACACATAATCTGAACTTGTGTGGGACAACTCTGTATGTTAAAAGCAGGAAGATTTGGGTGCCACTGGAGTGAATTTTACATTGTGCAAAATTAATTTTAAATTACTTTACTCTGAAGAAATCTCAATTAAGACTTACAACATATCTTTTATAAAACTACATGTCTGGGGGGTGGTTTTGGAGTGACACTACTTCTTTCCCAATTTGATACCAGCTTTGATTCCCTGTTGGGAGATTCTGAATTCTCAAATCTGTGAGCAATGAGTTGCATTTTATAATTCTTGGGGATTTTTGTTTTCCCACTGCAAACACAGTCTGCAGTACGATCAAAATCCAGATACTTTCAGTTTGGGGTTTTGCTGCAATTTCCAATGAGAATTAATTGAGTTTTTAAATAAGCAATCATTATACAACTCATGGGGGAAAACAGTGTTTTTGATTGGGATACTAAGCTTGGGTGGGTGAGTGGGTTGGGGGTTCCTTTTATGACCCAGTCTTGACTTCAAACTTACTTGTGGGCCCCAGGACAACATGGCCTGTTGGCACCACTTTGCACTGTGAGGCAGGAGCTCCAGTTTGCCAGAGGTTGAATACCAGAGCTACAGTCTATCTAGAAGGAAGGAAGTTAGAGGTTAAGTGCTGAAGATTAAGTGCTACAGGCTCAAGGCAGTGGATGCTGTCAGGCCTCAAATATCATATTTATTTAGTGCAAACACAGAAAGGGAAGGTTTGGGTGTCACATTTACCAATACATATTTTGGAAACTAAGAATTCACCACACAGATCTTCCACTCACCCCTTCTATGGTTGACTATGCCACTATGTCTAAATTGGGGAATGCAAATTAGGCTGGCTTCCAAGGTATAATAAGAAGCAATGACTTTTGAGAATTTTTCAAAAACCTGATTTAGGGTCAGAACCAGGTTAGACTCAATTCAGACGTAATATTCAACCATGGAAAGGAAGATGGATTTCACATATGGGAGACAAGGGGAAGAAGGGAGTTTAAAACACATCCCAAATCTCCAAACCATAGATTGAAGACTAGGAAGCATGATGCATGGACCCACCCTAAGTGAAGAAGTAGCTACGGTTACAAGAATACATACTTGTAAGTCCACTGTGACCCTTGATCTGTCCTTTTAGATTTGACTGGTTTGCTTTAATTCGATCATCTAGTTGATCACCCTTTGTGGCTTCTTTACAGACTTCTATGTTCTTGATGTTGCAGCTGCTCTCCGAAGATGAACTGTTTGGAGATGTTGGGACAGGCGAAGAGGAGGACTGGAAGCTGCTCTCTGAGCCCTCACTGTGACATGAGGCAGGGCTAGATGCTGAGCTTGAAGAACTGATGTAAGTGATCACACCACCTGTAAAAAGAAGGCAGGAATGAGTATGACAAACTCAAACCTCCATATTTGGAAAAAAAAAAGTCAGCAAGTTTCTCTTCCTCAGACCCTTGTGCATGTCTTCTTAGTTTTCAGTATTAGATAATCATAAATATTGACCTGTCTTGCTTATTAAATTCAATCATTGCTCCCGCAAATCAAAAACAGTTAATCACGTTCCTTCATTCAAAGTGATTGTAATTGGAAAGAACAAAATGTAAACCTAAGTAGCTTTCCAAATTATTAGAAGAAAAGCTGGACCTAAGAAACCGTAGGTTTTTGTTTTGTATGTCTATTGGGAAGCAGATACTATAACAATTATGAGCACTAATTAAAAAGAAATGAAAAGTGTAATACATAAATAATAAATTGCTCATAGCAGTGCTGCATGATTAAAATTTTACTTATTTTACTTATACCCTAATTCTTGAAAACACCCCAGAATTGATTACATAGAGTTGCTAAACAGTCTCCCATGTGCTTTCAGAACACTCTCTAGGCACCAAAGGGACAGCACCCAACAAAAGGAAGAAAGGGACATCTCTTATACAAAAGGAGTTGGTAGTTAAGGGACAGAAACGTTTCACTGAAGGGGGTATCCATAAAGACAGAGAAATGCGTAAGCAAGGGATCTGAGATAAAGCCAGCAAGAATATAATGCCACAATTTGTCCATTTTCATTATTATGGGTGTATTGTTATGTTCAGGCATAGTATGTTTGTCTTTCATGTTTGGAATCTGCCCTGAATCCCTCCGGGGAGACAGGGCTGAATATAAATAAAGATTGTTATTGTTGTTGTTGTTGTTGTTGTTGTTGTTATTATTATTATTATTATTATTATTATTAGGGTTTTGACATTTTATGGTTACAGCATACTTTTATAGTTTTAATGATTTTATATGGATTTTATTATGTGATATTAAATGTTTTTAATTGGTATGTATGTATGTATGTATGTTGTGGCAATCTGTACACTACCCTGAGTTGCCTTTGGGTTGAAAAGAGCAGAATAAAAATGCTGTAAATAAATAATAAAATAATAAATAAAACCATCACCACAGTTCAAATACTATAAATATATCACATTTGTACTGGTTTAACAATAAATGCATTGCCCCAAAAGTCCTGGGAATAGTAAATAAGTATTTGGTGGAAATCCTTGGCTGTGCTACACAGCAGTTTCCATGATTATCTCTGGAAACCAAATGATAGTTAAACTTAAGTCTGTAATATAGGCATACCATAATGCCCTCCCCCCAAAAAAACAACTTAATAATGGCAACCTTTAGTGTTCACATCCTTCAGGTTTTCAGCAGGGTGAAGTTTCCCACACAACTTAAGTGCTTTTCAAATTTTACCTGGTTATTCTAACCTTAAAAATAGAGTGAAAGCTTTAGAGCTCAGAGAGCTGCATCTTTGTTCATTCATGGAAGACCCCTTTTTCTGCATACAAGTCCAATCACAGATGAGTGATCCCACAAGCAAACACAACTCTTAGAATAAATGAACTGTTCCAAAATAAATTTGCATATTTTATGGTTTCAGTATACTTTCCTTTACAACCCTGTCCCCCTACAAAAACCTTAGCTACTTAAATCTGTCCAACAATTGGTAAAAATGAGTTCACATACCCTTGCTGAGTTTCCAAGCTTGCAAATGACCTTTCTCTGGTTTTCAAATTTACAGCTCAAATTCCAGGCCAAAACACCTGCTTAAAGTACACTTTGTGTGAAAAGAAAGTTTCAGTGGTTGGGAGCTTTCATCCCAATAAGGTTGTGAGTTTGCTCCAGATTTTAGTGTAAAGGAACTGTCCAAGGTGCCAAAACCAATTTGAAGAGGCTGCACTTTGAACAGTCTAAAATACAAAGGAAACTCAACACATGACAACTGAAGCTCCAGCCATTACTATTAAAGAGAATGGCATTATGTGGTCTAGTAGTTTGAGAACTGGACTAGGACTCTGGAGAACGGGTGTGAATCCCCACTTCGTCATGGAAACACACAGGTGACCTGGGAGAATTGCTCTCTCTTTGCTCTGAACAAATGTGTCAACAAAACTTCATGATAGGTTTACCTTATAGTCACTGTAAGACAGAAATGCCTTAAAGCAGCATTTCTCAACCTGGGAATTGGGACCCCTGGGGGGTTGCAAGGAGATTACAGAGGCATCACCAAAGACCATCAGGAAACGTCTATTTCTGATTATCTTAGGAAACCCTTTGGCAGAGAAGGCTGAAGATCTCTCCACCTGTCCTTCTCTTTCTTTTTGGAAACAGATAGCAAAAGCCCTCCTCCTGCTGTGAATGGCTAGCCTCTCAACCAGACTCTCAGCCAAGGGGACAGCTGTTTCTAAGACTCCATGTGGAAAGGGGAGAGCAGGTATGATCTTCCCTAAATCATTGTCATTTCCTCCCAAATCCCTCCAGTACTTTCTGTTGGTCATGTGGTTTCTGTGTGGGAAGTTTGGCCCAATTCTATCATTGGTGGGGTTCAGAATGCTCTTTAATAGATGAACAAGAAATCCCAGCAACGGCAACACCCAAATGTCAAGGTCTATTTCTCCCAAATTCCACCAGTGTTAACATTTGGGCATATTGAGTATTTGTGCCAAGTTTGATTCGGATTCATCATTGTTTGAGTCTGCTGTGCTCTCTGTATATAGGTAAACTGCAACTCCAAAACTCAAGGTCAAAGCTCACAAAACCCTTTCAGTATTTTCTGTAGATTCTGGGAGTTCTGTGTGCCAAGTTTGGTTCAATTCCATCATTGGTGGAGTTCAGAATGCTCTTTGATTGTAGGTGAACTATAAATCTCAGCAACTACAATTCCCAAATAACAAAATCAATCCCCTCAACCCCACCACTGCCTTAAAGACACACAACAAGATTTCCGTGGTACTGACCCCTAAGTAAAAAGTTATACAGAATTGCACTCTTATAATACAACTACTCAGAAACAAGACCCATTAGATCAATGATACCTACTCTGGCGTATGCACAAAGTTTAATCCTAAATTTCCTTTTGACACTGTAAGTGATTTTATGAAGATTCAATGTCATCTCCATAGGAAAGTCGGTTCACAATTATTTCTTAAGAAAGGTTTTATTGAAGTAATGTATAAATCCTAACCTGTTCACTCAAGGGTTTATTCGAGATTGCTTTCCTACTATGAGAAGTCTTTAGTTTATATGTAATCCCATTAGCTCCAGTGAGGGAAGTGGAATCAAACCACAATAAAAAATGACACCGCAATGATAGGCTTTCAGAATAACACAGTAGAGGCAATGCAATGAGTGGGAATATTTTAGTAATGCACTTGTTTCTCTAGAATGACACCAAACAAAAACTGGAATTTTATAAATTCAATGGCTGTTATAATAAAATAAAAGTAATGTATTTATTTGGGGGGGGGGGTCTGGAAAATAGTACTTTCAGGGAGTTGTAGTTCACCTACAACCAGAGAAACTGTAACCTCCACTGATGATGTACCTGAACCAAAATTAGCACACAGAACCCCCATGACTAACTCAACCAACTAAAGGGGTTTCAGGGACTGACTCACCGTAGTGGGAGTTGTAGTTTACTCTACAGCAAGTGAGCACACTGCACCCCACCAATGATGCATCTAGAGAAAACTTGCCTGACATAACAAACTTTAAGTACTGATGGAGTTTCTCAGGGTTAACCTGGCTTGATGTGAGTTGTAGTTCATTCACAACCTAATGCATTTTGTATCATTTAAAAAAGTGACTTTTTCAAATAACCTGGGCAATGCTGGGTCTCCAAGCTAGTCTAGAATAAAAGTGAAAATATGTTTGTGTGTGCATGTGTGTATGTATATTGGTGGGTGATTTCCAAGAGAGCTCCCACTTCCAGAGAGCACTGTGACTCCCAACGACGCCAGATCTGGACCACACTTGGCACACAGACCTCCCCTCCATGATCGACAGAAAATAATTGAGGGGTTGGGGGGATTGATCCTGGATTATGGAAGACACAATTCGCCCCACATCCAGTGAGCACTGTGACCCCACTAACGATGGATCTGAACCAAACATAGTATGCCTACCACCATGACCAACTTTAAATATTGGAGGGGTTTTTTTGTGGGGGTGTGTGTGTTGATCTGGGATTATGGGAGTTCTAGTTCACCCACATCCTTATGCATTTTCTAACGGGAGCATTCATAAAGCAAACAATGACTATTTCCTCTAAATAGCATTACAAAAAGTAGTTTAAAAATAAATTATAGATAGCAAAATGTCAACACATAAAAGACACAGGAAGTCTAAACATGAAACACAACTAATTGTAGCAATCCATTCTCAGTTGTATCTGTAGAAAGTAGAAGGTACTTATCTTCTGCAAGATGGAAAAAATTACACATGAAACTCAGATGGCATATTTGGATAACCATCTAAAATTACAATGGAATATACATCCAAGTGTGGAACCCTTTCAGTGCATTGCATTGCTTTCAATGGGATGTGCATATAGCCACATTCTAGTAGTATTAGTCACACACACACAATTACATGTGGCAAGAGCTAGATGAGGGCACGTGTGTACAGAATGCTATGTATAATGGATATATATTCACACTCATTAAAATAGTTTAGGCACATGCTTTGGCAGGAAGTAATTATGTCATCTAGTAGTACTACAGACTAAGTGATAATTTAACATACAAACACACAAACATTTGCAAGTGTTTGCAGTAGCCATACAAAGAAGTAGAACCACCTCTGAAGAAAGAATGGGTTGAATAATAGAAAGCATAAAAGAAATGGGCAATTTTAAAAGAGGAAATAAGCTGCAGAGTTGTTGAAGGATCTCTGCTAGGGCTAACACTGTTTTGATGCATTTTTGTCAATCATACAAAATTAATGATCTCAACACTAAATTATTCAGGATGGAGAAAACAAACTGTTTTAAGAAGAGGTCTAAAATGTTCTGTCCCCAAGCTACATGAATGGACAAC